CTCTTATTGGGGACAAACACGACTAATACAACAAACATGACCAATTTGTAGAGCATTTTTGCCGAACAACTTTTTTCAGACAGACCCAAGAGAAAACTGTGCACCGTCACAGGATTTCAACAACATAGAAATATCACATGCAATATTGGTAAGTTTAGGACAATGCACACTTTTTTCGATATCGGGAAAAATGCTACAAACCTCAATATACGACAAACGTCTTCAAACTTTCTAATTAGCGTAAACTTAAAGAATTCCTAATTGAGGAACTCATTCGTTCTATCACAGACTGGTAAACCATTCCGTTGCATCAGCTCAGATCGTATGTGTATTGGTTCTTTTATTAGCCAAAGCACACAAGGTTTGTTTTATTGAAGGGTTGTAAGAGTGTTTGTTAATCTCCAATAAATGATCAAGCAAGTAAAATAAATTTGAATACTAGCTAACGTAGGTTTTTGCCAAACACGAGTTTTTGCTACTATGTGAAAAATATCAATGCCCATTTTAACACACACTGTACGTTTGCCTATAAATCCATTTTTTCTTTGGATGCCAAAAATTTGCGGTAATGGCTCTATATTTAAACCTTATATTTGTGAGTCCCTCATCGAAATTTCAGATTAATTCTACTAGATTAGGAGATTAGAGAGAGGGAGAAAATTAATTTGTCTGTCTCTGTAAATTATACAATTTATTGCGTTTTAGGCAAATGTGCCTTCGAAAAATCCCTAGAGGTTTCAACGTAAAATACCTATCTCGAAACCGGTGAGAGAACGAGCCAACAAAAACGCGATATTTGGAAACGTCCACAAAATCTCTATCGATGACCCGACGATCTCACATTCCTCCCAAAACAAAATATTTTGCTAGTAGTAAAACTGGTTGAGGATCTAATTAAAAACGAAGTTTTTATTTACATTTTGACACCCGGTAATTCGGAAACGATTAAGTTTCGGATGAGAGAAATTTGCTTGAAACGCAATATTTCTATGGATTAAAAATGTTAAATCAATTTCTGCGGAATTAGTCAGCGGCTGTTAAATATGAAAATTATCATAATAAATGTTCAATATGGCCAGCAATAAGTGAACGCCCTATGTTTCATATTACCGCCAACACAACACTATGCTCTTTCAGATATTGACAAAAAAATCAAGCTCATGAGAGCCGATCGAGGCCCATCCAGTAAGGAATCTGGATCTCCTGGATCTCCAACGAAAAAAAATTCAAACAACGTTAGAAACTTTCAAAGTCTCGCAAAAAACAGTTTGGAGTTTATATCAAATAAGACAGACTTTCGAGGCCATTCCTTGAAACTAGTGAGAGTTTTTTTGGGTTTTTTTACGACGGCCTAAAAACCCGAAAACCCCACTAGTTTCAGTTTGGTGTTTGTTTTGAACTTGCTTTGATGCACCATTGGAGGATTAACATTTTCGATAGCTGATTTTATTGAATTCGAAAAACCAAACATCGACCACCCAGTCGGGCTGACCGCAAAAAACTTGATTCTTACCAGCAAAGTGCCGAGCTGAGCGGATCCAACGGCATGCTTTACGTGTGATTACAATATCTCCTCCTGCTCACAACTGGTCGAATCTCCCTGGTGGAAGCGCAGTCAAGTGGCAACAAACATTTCCTAGAACAGTTCGTTAGTAGGTCAAGCTGGGCGGTGGGGCAGGAAACCGCGGAATGCCGCCCCATGGAAAGAGTCATGTGGCGGCGTCCTTCGACGGGATGCTGGTCGAAGAATCCTCATCGCCGCTCATCATGGGCATGCTGCCCAGCATGTGACCTTTGCCCTGATTGACCACGCACTTTCTCATGTGCTTCTCCAAGGTGGAGGGCACAGAGAAGGGCATCTCACAGAAACGGCACCGGTACACATCCTTGCCGATCCGACCGTGGGTCTTCATGTGCCTGGTGAGCTTGGAGCTTTGCGCGCAAGCGTAGGAGCAGAGCTCGCACTTGTAGGGTTTCTCACCAGTGTGCGAACGTCGGTGCACCGTCAAGTTAGAACAGTTTTTGAACACTTTCCCGCAAAACTCACAGGTGTCGTTCCGACGCGACTCCTTCTTGATCAGGTGGTTGGGGAGCAACGAGCTGGGCCCTGGGACGCATTTGCTCTCCCGCGCTAGTCCCGGTAGCCACCAATCGTTCCGCTCCAAGTCCAACTTTAGCCGTTTGGTTGCCTCGTAGGTATCGTTGAATTGGGGAAATAGGGGCAAAGGTGGAGGCGGCGGTCCAGACAACAGCCCCTTGGCGAACTCTTCGCGGATCTTCAGCTGCGTGACTAGGGACGTGTTGTTGTTGTCCCTGTCCTTGCTCGCCTGCATCTGCATCTTCATTGCGGAATTGCTCTCCTGCAACGCCTGCTTGTAGGCCTCGCTGTACTGGGCGATGTTGCTCAAACCAAACTTGTCCATAAGTTCGCCAACTAGGGAAGCTTGGTTAGCACTCGCGTTTTTTGAATCCTGACTGGGCACGCTCAAGTCCTCCGCCTCCTCATCTTCCGCCTCTAGTTCCTCGTCGTCCTCCTCTTCTTCGTCCATGTCGTCCTCCTCCTCGCTGTCTTCTCCGTCCAGAGTTTCAAGCGAGCCGGCATTACTTGTCCGGTCTTCAGGTGTGCGATGGATCTTCATGTGGCGCTTCAGCTTGCTGCTTCCTGCATATGACTGGTCGCATACAGTGCACTTGTAGGGTAGCTGGCCTGAATGCAGTCGCCGTTGCGCGTCCTGCATTCTGAACTTTTTCCCGCATGTTTGGGGATCTTCCACAGAACCAACGGTATTCTGTGGTGACCCAGGTTTACAGGGGGGCGTCGAAGCCGATCTGGGCGTGCTCACCATCGGCTCATCTGCACTACTTTTGTTCGGTGGCGACGCGCTGGGCTGTCTACTCGAACTATTGCCGCTATTCCCACTACTAGAACTATGGTTATTGTTGTTGTGACCGGTAGGATTGTTGCTGCTCGTGCAGCTGGACAAACTGGTATTATTTGGGATACTGGTTAGTGGCACTTGCGAGGGCGAGGGACTGGTAAAAGGCGGTGAAAGCTTCCTGGGGCTTGGGGAGCTCGCCTGTGCTACCCCAGGACTTGTTGTTCCTGCTAATGCTCTCAACCGCTGTGAGTAAAAATCCAGTTGTGGTTCAAGTGATAAGGGCTGATTGGGAGTGCTTCGATCCCTTGTCGGTAGGCTAGTAACTGAACTGGCCCTTTCCGCTACTGGCGATGTGAAGCTGTGGGGCTGCGAAGCTGCCGCCACTGCAGCTGCCGCCAAATTGAGACCATGGTGCCGAAACTGCTCACTCATCAGCTGATCCATACGGTAATGGTGTTCGGATCGGGAAAAAAGCGGCGCTGGAGGCATGTTCGGGTTTATGCCGTGGTTCATGGGAGGCATCGGCAGCCGCAACAATCCTCCCACGCCAAAGGGGTTGTGCAAGTCGGGCGGCGGGAGCAAAGGGTGCCGCAAGTTGGGCACGGGAGGCGCGCCCGAGGCGCCCGATGAGCAGCCGGACGAGCTACTGGATACCGAGCTAGTCGAATGGTTGTTGTTGTTGCACTTTGAGGAACCGGGCGTCGACTCAACGTAGATTTTCACTCCATGGACGTGTTGCACGTGCTGCACCAGTCGCCATGCCGAGTGCAGTCTGGCTTTACATGTGGAGCATACGTAGTTACTGGGCTCTGGAACAAAAATACACATATTTTAAATAACTAGGGATGAAAATTTACCGAATGTTGGGGACTGGTGATTAGTGATGAGCGAGAATGGTCTTGGTCTTGGTCTTGCAGTCTTTGACAAGCCAAAACTGCCTTTGGTTTGCAATACCAAGACCAAGACCCAGACCATGACCTGCAAGACCAAAACTTTTGCAAGAGACCATGCCGCTCATTTTAGTGTTTGGTTTGAATCATGGGTCACTCTGTCAAAAAACGATTAAACGAAATGTGGTTAATACGGTAGTGCGATACCGAACCGCTTTCATTTGTCCTCGAAGCCCTTAATATTATGTTTTAAGGCAATTGAACAGTTTTAAACACGGAACATACCGACGTATGCGACATACGACTTTGCACCAGAAAACATTAAATTAGAAACCAAAGCTGTGACCAAGTGTCACATAAAGCAAACAGCACTTAAAATGTGATCGGTTCCAGATTTTTCCCGTCTCTTTCAGATTATCTAAATCGGAGGGTAGGTGGGATAAATAGTTGGAAAATAAAGTCAGCTAGTCGTCGATATTGCCTACGTAAAATTAATTATTCATCGACATACTTAGTGTTTGTCTCCTTTTTGTTTGCCCCAGTACAAGGTGATATGGTCTCATACAGAAGTCTTTTTGACTGGAACTGGATATTTAGTTGGGCACGCAAATTTACTATTTAATTTACAAAATTTTTGAATTTTAAATTATAAATTTACATATAAACAGCATAAGTATCACTTTCAACTATTTTTTAAAACATAAATTTTTTCAATAATTACTAAGTTGTCCATGCTTTACGGAAAAGAAACGGTTAAAGTTTTTAGCAACCAATAATTTAAAAAATATATAAAAGAAATTTTTTTTCTCTTCTTAAACGGAAAAATTTACTTCTTTCAAAAATTATTTGTCCGTTTAGACCAAGAAAAACGTCCCTTTTTCATTATATGTATAGTCTGTACGCTATAATTTTGGTCGCACGTCATCAATAGTCGGTCGAGCGTTGTTGTCATACTCGCCATA